TGAGTTTAGGTTCCATTTGAAGGTTTTAATTTAGAAAGAGGCAGCCAATTAAATTTTTTAAACTTATATCTTTTTCACCACTTTTGACAACATTGAATATCACTCAGACAGTGGCAGGGCTAGCTTTTAGCTTTAGCTGAGGCATGGCGTATACAATTTTTTTGGGGGAATGAGTTTATGTTTTAATTCGTACTTTTTCTAAGTTGTTGATCAATTTTGACAAAAAAGGACCTAAAAGTCGAGAATAAAATATAAATAATAAGGAAAAATAAAAATAAAAAAAGCAAAATGTGAAAAGTATTTTTGTATTTTTCTTAATCAAAATCAATTTTGATAAAAAAAAAAAAGTATAGATCTAACATGAATTTGAAAGACAAAAGTGTACATATAAATGTAATACAATTGAAAATATAATGTATAATTTGTTAACCTCAAAATGTAGGGTATAAAAAAATCATAGACAGCATTAGCTCATTAATAAAATTCATAAAAAGGGTAAAGTTGTTTATAAACGAAATATAGAAATAAAATAGAAAAAGGTAAAGTTTAGTGGAGGAAAAATATGAGAATCTTAAATGTTAGTGGGACAAAACGAAAAAAAAGTTTAAAACTTTCAAAGGTTTAAAAATTTTAGTGGCGGCAGCCCCCACTTGTGTCTTAATACCTCTACCCCTGCACCCAAATGACAACATTGTATGCTTAAAAATAAGTTAAGACACTTCTTTTCTTAAAAAGAATAATTAGAACTTAGTAATTGAAATTTAAAATGTGTCCCACTAATTTTCTTTTCTTTTTAACCTCTATTAATGGGAATTGTACTATGTGGATGGATCACAACTGTGCACGTTCAGTTAAAAACTAAAGAGCTTATAAAACAATTGTAATTGTATTATTTTTCCTCCAAAAAAAAAAGTATTATTGTCTAATCAATATCCTGTCATGCCAACTAGACCCATATTATATGGCCATACGATTTAAATTGTGTGGTTGTAGTTAATAATCAAGTCATATGATGATTTTCCCACCTTAGAATTAATTTATTTATGTGAGTTTTATATATATTTCTCCCAAAACCCGTTATTTTAATCTCACTAAATTATTTTTCTTTGAAATTTTCCATATCATTTTTACAAAATTCAGTGATTCCAGTTTACTGACATAAGTTCTAATTAGCCCATTGTTATGATTCTAAATAAGAAACTTAATCAGACTCAGGCTTAACTACGATGTTGCTGAAGTACTCATAAATTATAATGGTAAGCCTAGACCTTAAAAAGCTTTAACTTCCCTTGGTAAATAATATTTGAAGTCATTAGTACTTCAATTCTCTCATCATTTGTTAATTTTTTTCTGGGTATTTTTAGAATCCGCAACTGTGTTTTCTTTTGTTTTCTTTTTTAATGGATATATCTATTCTATATACTAAGAACGTTAAAATGCGTTTTTGTTAATATTATTTTCCTCTTTTGCCCCTCTTTTTTTTTTTTTTTTTTTCAATATATACTCATTTGGATTTGTTTCTCTTCATGACATGACATTTTAAGTTTTTTTCTTTTTTTTGTGTGTGGAGAAAATGATACGTTTTAAGGTCAGCTAATAAACCTTTAACACATCTTAGCATAATTTGATTATCCACTTCCTCCTTGTAATCTCTCTTTTTCTCTGTCTTTCTCTCTCTTTTTTGTATTTTATTATCTTTTTTTATGTGGTCTGTTTAGATTAGTGTACTAATCTTTTTTTCTTTGTAATGTTGTTTGTTATTTTTTAAATATTTTTAAAAATGCTTCAGTGAATATTGTTGATTTGCTTTCTTTCAGATTGATGCTTTTCTATCTTTTGAAATATTTTAAATTTTAGTTATATGTCTTGTCAAATTAAAATAATATAAAAGATGCTTAATGAAAAAATTCGACACAAGTCAAGAAAAATTCACCGAAAAGTTTGGCATAGTTATCCTTTCTGAGATGCCTTGAAATCAACACGGAATGAAAAACACGTGCAATATTACACATACTAAAGTACTTAAAAAAATTAGTGTTAGAAAAATGTCTAAGAACATGTTAAGCGTCACTACTAATAGAAAGTGAGTCTCACATTACAGAAACAACTTTCTGTTAAAGTGGTGCTAAGCACCACTAATACCTAATAACATCGCTCTTAATGTTATACAACACACAGTGCATCGATGAGTCTTATCATGTCTTGCACAACAAACACACATCATCTAATCGTATGAAAATTAGTGTTTTATATATAACACTTTTAATGTTGCCAAGACTTGGAGGCCAAGTTTTTCTCAACTATAAATAGAGTAATTTAGCTTATGATGTTATCTATGGCAAAATAAAAGAGAGCAATATGAGTGCTTTTGTCTTTTAGTAAGGAAAAAAAAAAGACGTGTGCTTTTTTTTTTTTTCTTTCCTTCTGTTCCATGTGCTGGTTCATAAAGCTAGTTGCTTTGGCATATCTGTAGTGTCAATTCGGGATAGTGATATATAATCGAGAAGTTGTTTTCTTCTATACCCATATGTTGTCTTTTAACATTTTACGCTAGTATAATATTGTATGGACACAATTTGATGAGAGGTTCTAAATAAGATAATGTTTTCCCAATCTAAAGGATAAATTTATAAGAAATTTCAAATTCAAAGAAGTTTTGCCTAGCTATTTCTGAAAATAGAAATGTATCTTTCTCAGAAAAGAAAAGAAAAGTATATATGTTAATAAAATACCCATCATAGATTTGGCTCAGAAAATTCTCAGTGGCTAGTGGAATTTTATTTTTTTTTTTTTAATGAATAGAGAGCAAAGGGAACTAGAACATCCCAACTATATTCACCCCACTAGAAACTAACCTTATTCCGAAACAAAACAATTCAAAACGTATATAAGACCAAAAAAAAATGTACAAATAAGGAAAACAGTCGGAGCAAATAAGAGAAAAACAACACCATCAAAAATTTGGTTCATATGTTCCTTAATTTTTTCAGTTTTCTTCGTATCCCTTTAATTGATATAATTTTTTTACTAACATGCCATGATATATTTTAATTGATATGATTAACGTGTTATGATATTATTGGAGAGATATTTAAGGGGTATGAATAAAGAGAAACATAATTATAAATTCGGATCCCCCATCACACAACAATCCAAAATGAAACTAATTCGGAAGCTTGGCCGCCTTTGATAATTAAAAGAACTCTGAGAGCGAAGACATAATGAAACTGACGCCAAAAGCAACAGCCTAAATCCTACCTTTGAACACAAAATACAGTGGAATATTTTGAAATTTTCAGGAACACTAAAAAAGGAAAGGAAAAAGAAAATAAAAGACCAGTGAACCTGATAGTGTGTCCGTCCATCTCGAACCCCGGTTCTTGCGCCACAGCCACACCGTTCAGCCACGGCCCGAAAGGCGGCCGGAGCCACGATGCTCGGAACTCGGTTCCCTCGGCTTTCGGCAACGGAATTCTAAGCCTATCGTGATATTCAACAATCTTCATCTCATCAAGATTGACCACCAATAGTATCCCCTCCAATGGCCTCACATACAAGTTGGCCGTTCCGTTTGTGTAAAAGCACTGAATCTTTATCACTCTCTCAGCTTTTTTCTCCCCATACCACCCAGCGGTAAAAGAAGAGCAATAAACTTGGGACATATCTAACCCTCGGTCTTTCACAGACTTAATTAAAGGTCCGTATTTTAGTACCAAAATGTTTGCATTAGTTTGTTCCTCTAGGGTTAGCATTGGGAAGCCGCTTCCTAGGTGTTTTTGTTGGGAGAATATCGAACGCGTCGACAAATCGACGATGATCTCTAGGGTTTCTTTGTTGAGCCGGGCATGCACGAGGGCTCGGCGGGGCGGCGGTTTGGTGGCGGGTTTTGTTTGCCATGAGAGAATGGTGCTCTTCTCTGGCTCGTCTAGCCCTACGTATTGGAAGGTTAAGTTGTGGTTTGAGGTGGAATATGCCTTGTGAACTATGGTTTTAATGAGGATGAATTCGGATGGTGATAAAGGATCCAGTGGGTGGTATTTTTGGCAGGAGATTGATGAGATAGATATGAAGATGGAGAAGATAAGAAAATAGAGACTTTTCATCATTAGTGAAGGCATGGCTCTAAGACTTTCTCACACTCATGTGTTCCTTTTATTCAGAACTAGGTGAGTTAAGTTGCACGCACACGGGGAACAACTTTATAAGTTCGATCTTAGGTTAAAATGTGTAATTCTCTTAGAAATTAAGTCCATTAATTAGAGCAAGAGAAAAAAAATTTTCAAAAAATCACATTAAAAAAAGAATCAAAATTATATGAGTTTTGACCAAAAAAATATTATGTAGGGAACTATTTAAAAAGAATTATTTTGTAGGGAAATATTTAAAAAGAATTATTTTAAGTAAAAGAAATATTGTTAAAAAAATAAACAGTGAGAATATTAGAGGAGAAAAAGAAGATAAAAGGCAATAGAAAAGAAGAAAAAAATTTTAATAAAAGAAAAACAGGATAAAAATAAAAATAAAAATCAACTGTATAAGAGTTTTAACCCAAAAAAAATAAAAAGAAGAAGCAACAAGGAAACAAAAGTGAAAAGAATAGAAAAGTAAAAAAAAACAAAAATAAAACATGAAAAAATAAATTAGAGATGGTCCCATAGTCAAAAAAAGAAGCAACTTCTATGTTTAGATTAATGTGAGAAATTTAGATACGAGTGCATCCAGGATGATGAAGCAACTTTGGTTTAAACTAAGAACCCCCAATCTAATGGAAAAACTAATTATTGAAATCTCAAAGTTATGGGTTTCAAAATTTTTTTTCTTCAATTCTTTTACAGGGTCAGATTAATTTGAATCCGTCCATGTACCTTTTGTTTGTTGGTCTTTACACAGAAACAAAGAATGAAGCCCCTTCAAACGCCAAAAAAAAAAAAAAAAAAAAAAAAAAAAAACGAAACTCTATATTCTTTGCCCCCCCCAAGCTGTCGTCGATTTTTTTTTTTTTTTTTTTTTTTTTTTGCTAGAAAGAGAGATCCATTAAACCACCAACAAGAAACCAGTAGAAGTACAAACTAACTACGTTAATATATTTTTAACTAACTAGGTTTAAATATCAATGAAAAATGAAAAAGTAAACAACACGAGACAAGAAGTAAAAAAGTATCTAGTTTCGTATGGAAAAAATATAACTATTTAGGTTTAAAAACCAAACAACTCAATACAAAACAACAATAACAATAACCAAAAGCAAAATAGCTATTATGAAATTCAAACAATAATCATCAATAAATTAACAAGAAAGGAGTAAGAAAGAAATACAAATTCTACTTATTCAAATTCTTCCAGTGAGCTTTTTTATTTATTTTTTATTTATTTTTTTCTCTATATTTATTTCGGCTGGAAAGCTCTTGAAAGAATCTTGCCCAGTAATATGTGAAGTAGGCAGAGAAAAAGAGATAAAAATGAAAGTAGAAATTAATTTTAACTTATTTCCGTAATGTATTGTGAAATACAAGTATTATTCAAAGTAAACAATAAAAGCCTTTGTTTTAACGTTCCCGTTTCTTTTCTATCTTTTTTTTTTTTTTTTTTTTAGATTTAAGAGTTAGTTTATATTAAAAATGAAAAGGCCTTTGGATAGCACTTAAAAAGAAGTTAAATGCATTTAGAGCATGCATCTAATAATTGTTGGTAAAAAAAGAGTACTTGAAAACAGAAGATAATGAAATTAGTAGATTTATACTTGAAAATAAAACTTTAATGATTTTCTAAAAAAAAAACAAAAAAAAAAAAACAAAAAAAACTTGAACTTTAATGTATATTGGAAGATTCTTCACGTTTCATATATATTAATTGGGGGCCTTAATTTGAGGAGGAGCCTTAAGCAATGGCTTAAATGGCCTAAGGCTTGAACCGACTCTGATGATGCCCCCGTTTTACCTGTTTCGTAAATTTCTTGTCAGTAGTATGTGATTTAACCCTAAAAAACAAAACAAAAAAAAAAAAAAACAGAGAGAGAAATATCCTACAGGCAGTCTACAGGGTTCTCATGTCTGCAAAACCTTTCAAAGTGCAAACGTGGAATTTGCCACGTCATGAGGAGCTAATTATGCGGAGTTGTGAAATACCGGAGCCGGTTAGCATTTTTCTTTAGATATAGTTCAGAATTTTTAATTCGAGTTGAGATGTGGTATTTTTTAAGAATTTTTAACTGTAACAAAAAAGTTAAATAATGTAAAAATTTATAATTAAAAACTCGAATCGGTGAAATAAAGGAGACATTAGTTTTTACGTGACAATGTTTTAGTTTTACAAAATCTTATGTCTCAAAATTGACATATAAATATATAATTAATTAAAGATTAATAAATTAATATTATTTTTTAATTAAAAATGGTAATTACATTTGAAATAGAGAAATACGCACAATCACGGAATAAACACGAATTAACGGACTAAGCGACTCAATCCCCACCCCAAACTGGAACCACCTGCTGTAAGTTCAACTAGAATTTCTAATATTTATTGAATGCCAGAGAGAACATTTTAATATAATAATTGATATGTTGCAGGCCCTTTATAATTGTTTCTCTTTTTTTTTTTTTTTCATTTAATCTCATAGATATCTAGTACGAGGTTCGTGCACACAATATATAAAATGAGAATCGATAGCAGATCTTGATGGTGCGTATTAATTTCTTTATTTACTTATCTCTTCTTTTTCGCAGGCATTCTTTTAGTCATCACTCTTTTCTTTTTTTTTTTTCCCTGGCCTTTTAATCGCGTATGCATGCATGTTTTTTTTTTTTTTTTTTTTTT